TTGTTCTAGTAAAGAAGCCGAATGGAACTTGGCGCATGTGTGTGGACTACACAGACTTGAACAAGGCATGTCCAAAAAGATAGCTATCCTCTCCCAAAAATTGATAGCCTGGTCGACTCTACAGCCGGCCATGCCTTGATGATTTTTATGGACGCCTACTCAGGCTTCCACCAAATACCTCTATGGAAGAAAGATCAAGAAAAAACAGCTTTTGTCACTAATCAGGGGCTATTTTGTTATACGGTGATGCCATTTGGTCTGAAGAATGCGCTTGCTACCTTCCAGAGAATGATTAATTCTGTCTTCTTCAATCAAATTGGAAGGAATGTGGAAGCGTATATCGACGATATGATAGTCAAATCCAAACTTCAGACGGACCACCTGACAGACCTTCGAGAAACATTCTCCACACTCAGGCGGCACCATGTCATGCTAAATCCTAAAAAATGTGTTTTTGGTGTTGAGTCTGGAAAGTTCCTCGGACTTCTGATTGACCAAAGAGGGATAGAGGCGAATCCTGAAAAAATACAGGCGGTTATAGACATGCAGTCGCCCCGCACTGTAAAGGAGGTTCAGAAATTAACAGGTTGTCTGGCAGCATTGGGGAGATTCCTCAGTCGGTCAGGCGATAAAGTCTCTATTTCTTCCAAGCAATAAAAAAGAAGGCTATGTTCGAATGGGGGTCGAATACAGAGGCGGCCTTCCAAAAGTTAAAAGAACATTTGCACTCTTTGCCAAGGCTTGTCAGCCCCCTGACCGAGGAAGTGTTGTACATGTATTTGGCCGTCTTTGATCATGCGGTCAGTGCTGTTCTCCTTGCTGAAAGGGACGGCTGTCAAATTCCTGTTTATTTCATTAGCCATGTTTTGAAGAATGCTGAGTTGCGGTACCCCATGGTTGAAAAATTTGGTCTGGCCCTCTACATGGCAGTCAAGAAGTTAAAACCATACTTCTTGGCACACTCGGTCGTGGTATACACTGATCAACCAATCAAGCGACCCTTAACAACCATGGCGTCGTCCGGCCGGATGATAAAGTGGGCGACTGAAATTCAAAGCTTGGAAATCATATTTGAGCTAAGGAAAGCAGTGAAAGGGCAGGCACTTGCCGACTTCATTGTTGAAATGACCAGGCCGCTTGATCACGGCAATTCAGACCAAGTCTGGAAGGTCTATGTGGACGAGAGTTCCACAATGACCGGCTGCGGTGCAGGCGTCATATGCCAGTCTCTAGAATGGGACAAGTATGAGTATGCACTATGCTTCAAATTCCAAGCCTCAAACAATGAGGCCGAGTATGAAGCTCTACTAGCCGGCATCCGCATATGCAAGGCGGCCGGGGCAAAGAAAGTGGACGCCTGTTCTGATTCAAAACTGATCGTAAGCCAGTACCATGGTGACTATGAAGCCACCCACCCGGCTATGATCAAGTATCTGCAGGCGGTAAAAGAAGAGGTCGGGACACTTGAAGAATTTAATCTCAGTCAAGTGCCCGAGTCCGAGAATAACCAGGCGGATGCCCTTTCCAAATTAGCATCATCCGCCTCCTGTGATGCACCAAGATCTGTTTTCTGGGAAGTAATGGAAAAGAGAAGCATCGAGGAGGATCCCATTGGAGTCCTTGATCACATCTCCACATGGATGGATCCCATCCAGGCATACTTAACAGACGGCATCCTACCGGATGCCTACCCAGAAATGATTGTATTAAAAAAGCGTGCATCCAACTTTGAGAATCACCAAGGGGAACTCTTCAAAAAGGGATATCTACAACCTCTCTTGAAATATGTTACCCCAGAAAAGGGCCGAGAGGTCCTAGAGGACTTGCATTTGGGGTTCTGCTCCTCCCATATAGGCGGCAGGATGCTTGCAAGGGGAGCCAAGCGGCAAGGCTAATTCTGGCCTACCCTAGAAGCAGACGCTATGGAGATGGTTAAAAAATGTGACAAGTGTCAAAGGTTTGGAAAACTTATCCATCATCCGGCTACTGACCTGACGGCTATCCATAGTCTAGTACCATTCGCCAAATGGGGCATGGACATACTTGGTCCCTATACGCCTGCTACAGGCAGACGAAGATATATTTTGGTAGCAGTCGACTACTTCACTAAGTGGGTAGAGGCCGAGGCAATCAAAGGCATCAAGGCCAAAGATGTTATCTCCTTCATTTAGAGAAATGTCATCACTCGTTATGGGGTTCCCATGTCAATGGTCTTTGACAATGGACCTCAATTTGAGACGCCTGCTCTCACAAACTGGTTGGGAGACCAAGGAATCTCTCATTGCTTTGCATCAGTCGGCCATCCGCAAGCAAACAGCCAGGTCGAGGCCTTCAACAAGTTGATCTCTGATGGCATAAAAAAGAAAATAGAAAAAGAAGGCGGCCTATGGGTTAACGAGCTACCGCATGTTCTGTGGGCCATCAGGACAACTGAAAAAGGGGCGACTAGTGAAACTCCATTTCTAATGGTCTATGGGGCAGAGGTTGTGTTACCAATTGAGCATTATGAGCCGACTCTTCGAGTCATGCTTTATGACGAAGAGGCCAACTGGGAAGCCATGCGCCTAGCATTGGATGAACTTCCTGAGTGCAGGGGCAATGCAGCCTTGCGTCACGAGATCTATCGTCTGAGAATGATGAGAGCCTATAACAGGAGAGTGCACAAGCGACCCCTAAAAGTAGGGGACTTTGTACTTAGAAAGATGGAAGCAGTTGGTAGGGCCAATGAGCAGGACAAGTTGACCCCTAACTGGGATGGCCCCTACCGAATCTGTGAAGAAATCAGAGGCGGCACATATCGTCTGGAAACACCAGACGGCAGGCAGCTAGCTAGAACTTGGAACGTAGACAATTTGAAAAAATACTACTTCTGAGAATTGTAAATTTTGTGATTATATCAATAAGAATTTGCAACTTATCATTTTTACTCTTTGCAGTCGGTTCAATACAGTCGGTCTAATAAGTCATCTTAGCAAGACAATCCGACTGCATTACAGTCGGCCTTATTAGTCCTCCCAGTTAGACAAATTCGCCTGTTTAACAGTCGTCCTAAAATTCTCCTATGTGGGGCAAGCCGACTGTTCCCAGAACAAATTATTATTACAAACTGAAAAAGCAAAAATTGCTAAGTCTTGACAACCTAGCAACTTTTGTTCTCTGAACAACTCACCAAGGCCACGGGCCGAATGATCAACCTAAGGCCTATGGCCGGATGATCCTTTAAAAAATCAAAAAGTACGTCTGTCCCAAAACAAAGCAGGCGTCCAGCGACATCCATCCGGGTGAATTCGTCGCAGAGAGCAACGCCCATCCGGGTGGAACATTGCTCTATAAACAAAACAAACAGCCCACCAAAGTGGTCCCCTGAACCTCGAGGTTTTTTGACGTGAGGCAAGGACAAACAAACCACTGTTTTTTGAAAAACACGCGGTACATCAAGTCTGAGTCAGAAGTCGGCTGAATTTGCTTGGGACAATAGCAGTCGGCATTTCATTTGAGTAAAATGCCAATTAAACTTGGCAAATCAAGGGGATCATGCGGCTTCCGCCGCCTGCATCCTCTACTACTCAAATCAGGGGCATAGATGGATCAAATCTCAAAGATTAATCCAGACCCTCTATCCTAGTGGGAATACAAAGGTCTGAAAGCCGCCTGTTTTATGAAAAACAGGTGGTATATGACCACAAACTTTTTCAGAGCCAGAGCAACCGCCTGTTTTATGGAAAACAAGCGGCTCCTGACCACCAATCGTTCTAAGTTAGGTAAATAGCCAAATAACACTTGGCAAATAAAAAGGAACTTGTGGCTTACGCCGCCTGCTTCTCATACTCAACACAAATTTCTTATCCTAAGAGCGCGAAAGACCGAGTGTTTTTGTCAAACAGTCGGCATTCGGCCATGAGTCCACAGCTAATTAGCCAGGTGACCGCCTGTAATCCTACAGGCGGTACCTCCAAAATGGAATCTACAACGCCTATTTCCACAAGAGAAACTATAAACGGCTTAAAGATTGCAACAAGAGATAACAGCCGGCCATGTCGGCCTACTTCTCTTGTTTACATTACATTCTAAATTGGCGAAGACTGATTTATCCTACTAAGGTTAACTCATAGTCAATACATTGAATTAATTAGAATCTGAAAACTCAAAAGTGGCCGCCTGGTCTCCGCAACAAGCAGCAGACGGCCACAACTCTTGTTCACTCTCGCCCTAGCATAAGTTGGTTAAAAAAAAAATTTCCTGATTGGCACTTGTTTTACATAAAGCCCCAAGTAAAAGGGAAAGTTTAAGCAATCAACATGAACTAGGTATACTAGAATCGCTTAAAGGGCCGACTGGACGACTAGTTACACCAATCTAGCCGCATGATCCTTAGCCGACTGATCTCAGCATACTGCTAAGGCCGACAGCTGAGTGATAAGAGAACAAGCGGCCCCTGACTTCATTTACAAAGATCAATATCGAGTTTTGCTCGGCAGTCGTCCTATTCTAGTAATGAGTCAAGTAGCCATTAAAGCTTGTGCGTATAATAAGGATGAATAACCGCCTGTTTCATAGCCGCATGGACGACTGGTCTTGGGCAAAACCAGACGCCTGGTATTTGGCCGACTGGACGCCTGGTTTGAGGCAATCACCATAGTGATTGATTGACTTAGAATTAAGTATCAAAAATCCCAACTCAATTAGACACCCTAGAAAACCAGGCGCTAGTCGCCCAAGGGCAAGAGCAGCTGGTATACCAAACAGTCGGTATGCTAAACATTCATGAAGAAAGGCTACAAACACTTAGCAAAAAAATTCGTGAAAAGCAAAAATGCAAACATGCAACAAAATTCCAAAGAAACCGAACAAAATAGTCGGATATGTGATAAAAACAACCGGCCATATGACCGATTGAAATGTTAAAATATTAGAAATTGTTGATACACTCCGACCCCTTGGTCGGGTAATGAAACATGCGGCACGCATGCCGAAGGAAAGTTTACAAATAAGCTTAAAATCTAAGCAGGAGGTTGTGCATCAACAACCGCCTGATCCCGACCTTTGGACCTTGACCGAGACGGCTCCTTCTCAGCAATCACTCCATCCTGCACTGGTCCCTCCTCACCAGTCGCCTCCTCCTGGTCCGACTCCCCAGCAGTGGAGTCGGACTCCTCGCCCTCGGCGTCCTCATCGCCGCCTGCCTCCTCCATGATTTGTTTATTGTATTCATCAGAGCAGGCGGCAAATTGGCGATCCCATTTTTCATAGTCGGCATCAGGGAAGAGAGCAACCCAGGTCATCTTCATAATGGCGGTGCTGTCCTCCATCATATCCTGGACAAGAGCCGTTTTCTCCTCCTCGGCCTTTTTAGAGAATTGCTGGGAGAGGTCCGCCTTTTGGCTGGCCAGGCGGCCATTGAGCTTGTTAACCCGCTCGCGGAGTCCCTCGGCCTCTTTGTCCGCCTCCTTTAAAGGCGCCATCTCCTCTTTGAGGTCCTTAACGGACTGCTTCAGCTCCAAGATCTTTTTCCTGGCCGCCTCTAAATCCTTTTTGACCCGCAAAGTGGCCGACGCCTGATAATACAGAATGTCAGTTGTCAGGACCTCATTTTGTGCTATTTGAAACATAGCCTTATCAGAGTCAGAAGCGGCCATGGCCTTCGCAGCTTTTACCTCTTTGTTTTTGTCGTTTATAGGCTTGCGGAGGCCGTACACTCGCAACATGGACTGCATTCGGCCAAAAGAACAGCCGTCAAAAAAACAGGCGGCTGGGGGTAAAACAAAAAGAATAATTGTTTTAAGTGTACCTCGGCAAGAAGAGCGAGGATAGCCTCGAGGTTAAGGGTGCCGACTCCCTTAACAACGTCCCTTTCCTTGGCTGGGATGGCTCTCAGCATGGCCCTTGCCATTTGAACCAAGTCAGGTTCTTCAGAGGCGCCTGCATAAATAAGTAAAGTTAGGCGACTGTACTCAAGAGGAGGCGGCAAAGTTTAGCCATTTGGCAGTTTAGCCTTTACCTCTTGTTGCCTCTTTAGGAGGACAACTGCTGCCAGGAGTAGTCGGCATCCGTCCCCCAATTAAGGGGGTCCTTCCTTGCCTTTCACTGGCATGCCGCCTGGCATTGCTATGAGAGGCCACGTCCCTAGCCGCTTGCTTTTGGATCTTGGGATCCGGCTGGGACGAGGAGGAAGGTCGAGGAACGGATCCCTACAAACAGCACAAACAATTAGCCCCAAACAGGCGGGAAGCAATAAGAGAGCGAAGCTAAAAATTGAACAACACTCACTTAAGACGCCTGTTTGGCGGGCGACTCCTCGGCAGTCCGCTTGCCCAATACAGCGGCGCGAAGAAGGGCGACTGCTTTCTTAGATGCCGAGATCTTGTCCATAGCTTGGTCTGCAAAAAAAGATCACAATTAGACAAAAATAATACAAAAAATATTACAAGTATAGCAGGGTACGTAAAGCAAGCGGCCAGCTACCTCTCGGCATCTCAACACTAAGGCCACAGGCGGCCAAGTATACCCCATCGTACAGCCACTTGTACTTTGGGATATAGAATTTGGGGATGAACTCCCTTACCCCTGTTTCAAGGTTTGCTTGGATAAAAACCTTGAAGAGTCCTCGGTCTAGGATCTCTTCCCTGGCCTTTTGAGGAACAGGCGACAGGTCAGAGCTGCCGCCTGTTAGGTAAGGTGGGTTCCAGTTCCACCTATTGAACTTTTTTTTTGGATTTTGTTTGGACTAGAGACTATGAAGAAGGTGTTGCGCCAGTCTTTCCATTTATTTTCCTTCCCCATAGTCATCATGTAACCTTTGTGACTATTAATTTGGTACCAGCCGGTACTGCTTGATTTTGGGGTCCTGCTCAAGTAATTCATATGGGCGAACGCCTCAAAACTGGCGTCTACCCCATTCATTTCACAGGCGGCTACATAACCCAATATATTAAACCAAGAGTTGGGAACAAGCTGCCAGAGGCCCAGCTAGTAGATGTCTAGAATCCTCTCTACAGCTGGATGTAGAGGAAACCTTAAACCATCTTTGATGGCGGCCTCATAGCAGCCAAAACACTCGTCCCTGTAGCTTGCCGCTTCTGGCTAGACGACTGTATCTTCAGGATCCGGCACCGAGAGGATGTAGTCGCCGCCCATAAAATAGTCGGCCCTGATGCTTGCAAGCTTATCAAGCATAGTCTTACGCCTGCCTGTTGGTACGTGGCAGTAATAGGCGGTGTGCGACTCTCTACGAGAGGCAGCCGGATCTGCCCAGTCGTCCCCCTTTTCAGTCGCATGGCTTGCTCTTGCCTCATGAAGGCGAGAGTGCTTTTCCTCGAAATCGGCAGAGTTGAATCACTTGAGCTCTCGGCCAAACCAGCCGCCTGCCCAGACAAGTCAATCGATAGAGGCTCGTTCTCAACCTCCTCCCCGGATTCTCTCAAAATGGAATCACTAGGGGTGCTAGAAGTACCATGCGGCAGGTCCGAGAGCTCCTCCCGAGAGAAAAAGGAGTCGTCTGAATTTGCATACCTTGCTGTTCTTTTAGTTCTGGCCATAGTGTCCTGCACAGACACAGAGACAGTCGAACTCCTAGTTCGCAAAGGGTGGTCCAGCAAGGGGCAGTCGGCACTCCTAGTTTTAGATTCAGCCATCCCCGGTGACTGGCTGATCACTAACCTAGGCCGTGTCGGGTGCTTTGGGGCTACCATTTTCGAAAAAAGAAAGAAAAATACAAGGAAAAAATGCAAGAAAACAGGCGGTTACCTTGTAAAAATCTGGAACGTCTGAAAAGCAGTCGGCCTGTAGATCAGTCGGTCTGTAAAACAGTAGTTCTCAGGAACAGTCGGATGTCTCAAAGGTCAGAGCAGGCGTCCTGTTTTTGGTTGTCTGAAAAGTTCGGTAATCATTTGAAATGATTTGGACATCCCCAATTTATAAGGGGGTGAATTCCAAGGGTTAGGGTAAATTAATAAAAAAATAAAAAAATAAAAAAAACGGTAAAAACCGTTAGCCAATCAAAAAAAGACATCTGTCACAGGTGCCACGTGGCACGCCACGTCAGTCCTGTACGGGGCAAATGATTAGGGGATTTTTCGCCGTCACGTGGACCAATCAGAGTCTGCCACGTGTCACCTTGTGAGAGGTCCAAAGTGGACCTATCAGGCCACGACACGTGGCAGACAGAAAGGCCTGTCAAGAAGAGCAGTCTGCAAAGGCCCAGTTTCCAGGCAAGCCCAATCAGTCTTAGGTTTACCAGAAACCTAGTATTGCGCACAGTCTCCTAGACTATAAATAAGGTGTTTTCCCCCAAGGAAACATCTATTCAGAAATATCCAAACACATTCAGAGAGTTTCACATCAACCCTGATTGAATCTCACACCTACTCTTACTCTCAAAGAAGAGAGCTAGTCAGTCACCTAACACCCTAAAACTGAGCAATTCACATTGCAGATCCTCTCTTGGACTCCAAGAGAGACTTTACTTTCCGCACTTAAACTCCTCATACACGTTCTAACTTGATCGTCAAAGGCGGAGCTCCCAAAAACAGGAGTCTCCGTTGTTTTGCAGGTACAGGCGTCCAGAGGTCAATCTTGGATTTGTAACTCTCCCGCAGGACATCAAAAAACCCCGAAACATATGTCATTGAGGTTGCATTGTCAAATGTCATAGACATGATATTTATAACCACTATCCCAAGAATTGGCAGTCAAAGACACTTTACAATTAAGTTTACTCAATTCGTCTTGTAACCGCAATTTGTACTCTAGGAAACTTTTCATGGCGGCGGAACGAACGGTTTTCCTAGAGATTTTTTTATGTTGGGGTTGTAATGCTTTGTTAATGTAAATGTTAAATGGGTCACTTTTAGAGAAAAGAAAAGGTTGTTCGTCGTGTAATATCATTTTCCCTAGTTCTTCCCTATCCCTCTCATAGTTGTAGGTAAAGCCGTGTGGATGGAATTGGGAAATTTTTGGCTGGGTTGGATCACTAGCTAATTGTGCACATTTTGTCGAGTGTCTACTTAAGTGTCCCGTCCCGGCCTTGGAGTCTGCCGAGTATATTTTACCACATGTTTTACATTTTGCTCTTGCTTGGGCAACATTTAGCACAAAACACATCACTTTTGCGGCTTTTAATATTAACCACGTCACTTTCGATTAACCATTGCTCTTATGTGTTTGGGAATTGGGTGTTTGTAGTTTCGGGGGTTTGTTGGTTAGTAGTAGAACCGAAGGCATATGGGATATCTTGTTCGTTACCTTGGTCAGTATAAAAATTTTGTGGGTCAAAGAAATTAGGTGGGAATTGACCGGATTGTGGAAATTGGTTTTGTGGGGGAAATTGGTTTTGTGGAAATTGGGTTTGTGGAAATCCGGGCATATTCATGTTATAAGGTTGAAAAACAGAAATACCACCATGCCTATATTGCTCAAAACCTAGGGGGACGGTTTCGGGGTCATTGGTCGGACTCGAAATTGGGGGGGTCATTGGATTAGGTGATTCCCTAGAACTATTACCACGGACAAATTGGGCTTTCCTAGAGGATGATGGGTTGTTCGTGTTTGGTGATGCCATAATTAACAATAATAATAATAATTAATAACAACAATTTTAACAATAATAATAACAATAATAATAATTAATAACAACAATTATAACAATAATAATAACAAAAATTTAAATTAATAACAATAATTATAACAATAATAATAACAACAATAATAAATTAAAGATTAGTTTAGATCTTACAACCGTACTTCAACGCTTTCCACTAATTACGATTACGAACTTTTAATTTTTTCGACATTAAGAAATAATAATTAGAGAATTTAAGAGATTAAGAGAATTAATAGAGAATATAAGAGATTAAGAGAAGTGATTGTGAATTTGTGATTTGAAATGAAGAAGATGGAGGTATTTATAGAAAAATAGGGAAAGAGCTGTTGGAAAGAATGGTAAAAGAAGAATGTTGCTCAACGTTCTCCATTGTTTCTGTTGAGCAACGGTCAGTAAGCGTGCTGGCACGCGGGCCGTGCTTGACGGGCTGGCACGCGGGCCAAGGGGCGGGCTCGTGCTGTGCCGTGCTGGAAAATGGCAACTTCTGTCCGTGACACGGCCCACGGCCCGCCAGGCGGCCACCGTGCCAGGTCGGGCCAGCTGCCGGGCCGTGCCATGCCACGTCGGACTTCGTGCCGTGCCTGGCCGCCTGCAGGCCAACCTAGCTTGTGCCCAACTTTACTTTCATGTCAACCAAGCAACTTGAGAATTGTACATTTCTTATGAAGTTTTACTTTCTCCTTTATTTGCTTGCAACTAAACAAATACAATATATCTATGTATAGCATTCTAATTTTCTTACAAATGTCTCACATTTTAAATTACATCTTCTACCTTATTTTGGTTTATGTTGGTACTATTGTAACAGTTTACCATGATTTACATTTACAATATAGAATTAATAGTTGGCACTTCCTATGACATTTATGGGCGTGTTCGGCAAAATATAGCTGTGAAGGTAGCGATAATTTAGTAGTAGTTGTTACTTGTGAAGATAGATAATTTAGGTATGAGTGTTCAGTAAAGTAACGGTTGACTAGCTGTTATATATAAAAATCAATATTTCTTCCTAAAACTATAGATTAAATTTTTTAATAGTTACCTCTAACTTCAAAAATATTTCTAACTTTTGATAAAAGTTACTTCCACCACTAAAAGCTATCCCAACCACTGCATTACTAAACACTCTTATTTTTTGTTTAGTAGTGATTTGACTTGGTCAAACCACTAAAAGCTACTCAAAAGCTACTGCCAAACACGCCCATAATCTATATCCCTATTTTCCAAACGAACATCATATTATCAAAGAAATTGCCATTCTATATACTATTTACAAAGCAGGACCAAAGTACGTATTATCAAACAAGATCCAATTTCTTCGATGGAGAGCATAATGATCTATTCAACTATAACACATTTGGCGATTGTTTGATGTTGAAAGTTACAAGTTGGATGTAGATTGGTTGATGGTTCATTCGAAGTTTGTCAGACATGTTCTCTTAATGAGACTCCATTTTACAAACTAACAAACTCATGCGGCAATACGACTAATCCGAACAATGCAGGTAGTTCCCAACTAATTATGGAGTTAACATACTAAACCAATGCATGGTTTATGCATTGTAACTGCACTCCACAATGCTCATGGTATATATCTGAGTTTAAACGATATAATAGCTCAATTAACATTAAATACGAACACCTCACTGTACATATTTAAAAGGAGACAAAATTTAAAGAACAAAGATAAAAGAATACGCGGTTTATAACCAAATAACATAGATCAAAAGAATAATAATTCAAATTCTATGAACATTGTGTAAAAGAACATACGAGTATAAAATTTCAAGAACATACATATAATCAAACCCAAAAAAAAATTTCTTATCTACCTTGAACAACAATCTTAATCCAAAGACGTAGATTTTTAAAACATATAGTGATTTATCAAATCTACAAAAACATTAATTGTCAGTAGTAAAATACACACGAATACGTGTAAGATTCTTTCACCACCTTACCTTACCATTGAACCAAATTATATTTCCCTATCACTATTGTAAACAAAAATTCATCCTTAAATTTTGAAAATTTAGAAAATCCGGTATACTCACCCAAATTTCCATTTTAAGTTTATTAATACCTACCAAACGAGTATAAAGCCTATCTTAGAAGGAATATTTTGAAGCGGCACAAAACTAGCATCAAAAGATAATTTTTTTTTATGGACAAAATTTCTCAAAACATATTTTTGTTGTGTTAGAAACGTGCCAGAAGCCAGAATCATTAGGTTACAAAATGACGTAATCCCACATTAATGCTATTCCTTTTCCATATACCGTACTTCTGAGTAGGCACCCCACTTAATAATAATTACATTTTGGGTGAAACCCCACATAATAGTTCAAAAATCAAAACCCTTCAATTGTTATCTAATTGCTTCGTTTTGACTAGGTAGGTATATATCGATGTAAAAGTTTAATCAATACTAATTTAATGTATAAAACAATAACATTTATCAAACAAAGTTAAGTGAACAGTGCCAAAAATTTCAATACAACTCAAAGTTGTGCATCAGAATACATACATAATTAAAATGGTGCATTTAAGATTTTAAGAGATTAAGGAGTAGCTCAAGTGGTTAGAGCTTTTCTTCTGGTTTAAGGGGTTCTGAAATCGATTTTCATCATTCGTACTTGTGGCTCTCGTCTTCTTTATTAACTGAATTGCTATTCGTCGCTCCCTTTTTACCAGGCACCGCTCCCAATTTTGACTGAAATGACCATTTTGCCCTTAGGTGATTTTATGCTATTTAAAGGTTCACCGACTAGTCATAACGAATCACGATCATATTAAAAACATTATCGAGCGGTTTCACTCAAAGTTTCCTTTTCAAAATTCCCGAGTCCAAAAATCCCGAGTCCCAAAATCCCGACTAGTCGGTTTTTTTAAAATTATCCTCACAAAATTTTTCTGGAGCTGAATTTACCGGCTTAAGATGTGGAATGACGGCAACGATCGCACACCGGAAGTATCGTCGGAAGATTCTGTAAGTTTCGCAAAAAAAAAAAAAATTCTGTTGTATGTCACATCCGGACAAAATTTCCAGATGATCCATGGAAGATCCGGAAATCCCATCCGGATGTGACATAAAACCGTTTTTTTTTTCTGTTTTTTTAATATATTAGTGTTATTGTTGATGTTTTGATTATTATTATTAGTATTATTTTATTATTAGTGTTTCTATTATTATTATGATTATTATTATCATTATGGTTATTATTAATTTTTTTAATTTTTTGTGCATTAATGGTTATTAGTATCGCTATTATTGTTGTTATATTGTGTTTACTATTATTGTTTTTATTATCGTTATGTTTAATTGTGAAACTATTATGATTAATTTTGTTATTGTTTCGATTATTTTTGTTATTATTGTTATGGTTATTACATTAGTGTTATTGTTAATGTTTTTATTGTTTATATTATTTTTAGTATTGTTATGATTATTGTTAAGTTGTTTTTAGTATTGTTGTGGTTATTGTTAATATTATTTTTTATATTGTTACTATTATTGTCTATACTAGAATTAGAAGTAACGTGTTCGTGTTTTATGTGTGTCTTCATTTTTGTTTATAGGGTTCGGAGTACGAAGATGGTGCCGACGATGTGAATTATAGTGCGCATTTTGCCACAGACACGTTGTTTCCAACGTTTGATGAGGCAGTTAATTGGGCGAATGCTATTGCCGTAAATCTGGGTTTTCTTTTGGTTAAATCGTCTTACAACAAAACCAGAGACGGTCGGTCGTACCGGTATTTGAGGTGTGATAGGGGCCGAAAGAGCCAGCCGAGAGATCTTGAGAATGCAATTAGGAGGGACACCAAAACCAAAGCAATTGGTTGTCCTTTCTACATCAAGATTTATTATGTCTTCGTCACCAACAGTTGGAAGATCCGGGCCAAGAATGATGCAACTGGGACCCATAACCATCCAATGATTGTCTATCCGGAGGGTCATCGTAAGATCAGTGGCTTGAGCCCGGATGCGAAGAAGGTTGTCCAGGACATGACAAAGTCCAAGGTTGCACCGTGGAACATCATGGCGACAATTGCTGAGCAATTCCCCGATGATCATCCAAACATCCGACATATCTACAACTGTCGGAATGACTTGAGAGTGGAGATGTCTGATGGGAGAGGAGTTGTTCAGCAATTTCTGCATTTGGCGAGAGAGAGCCGGTATATTTACTGGGTCATGTCTGATGATGTCGGCGTTCTGCAGCATGCGTTTATGGTGCACCCGATCACGGTGAACATACTACGGACGTATCCGTATGTGATCGGCATGGATTCGACATACAAGACCAACCGATACGGGATGCCGTTCTTTGAGATAGTCGGTGTGACACCGACAAATCAGAATTTCCTCGTCGGTTATGTGTTCATGCGCAACGAGTGCACGGGAAGCTACCGGTGGGTTCTACAGAGATTAAGAGAGTTGATTGGGTATGATAAGGAGCCGTCGGTATTTCTGACAGACCGTGAGCTTGGACTTTGTGCGGCATTGAGAGAAAAGTTTCCCGGGACGTCGCATTTGCTTTTTCGGTGGCACATTAACAAAGATGTGGAGGCTCGGGTCACTAGTATGTTCAAGAACAAGAATATTGGGGCGCAATTCTTGGTTCAACGCAGTGGTTATAATTCTTGGTGTAGGTAACGACCCGACCTGCTATTACCCTTGTCTCACCATCTTACCGTTGCGGGCACGAGCCGGGGTCAGAGCACCAACCCGGGAATTTGTCATCGCTACAGTTGGGGGGTCACATTTCATCTGCATTGATCTAGTCGACAATTCACCTCTTCCTCCGATCGCAGGATGGTGGACAGAGAACCACGAGCCAAGTGTCGGTGGATGGGATCAGCTGTATATCGCTAGAAGGAACATGTGGGATGCATTAGTTGGCCAGTGAACATTATTAAGGTAATTAGGTTGAACATATTTATGTAATTAGGTTGAATAGATATATGTAATTAGGCTGAACATATTTATGTAATTAGGTTGAAAGACGAACTTATGTAATTAGATTGAATACATACATGTAATTAGGTTGAATACATAAATTTAATTAGGTTGAACTTATTTATGTTATTACGTTGGAGGACGAATTTATGTAATTAGGTTGAAAGACGAACTTATGTAATTAGATTGAACACATACATGTAATTAGGTTGAATACATAAATGTAATTAGGATGAACTCATTTATGTTATTACGTTGGAAGACTCATTTATGTAATTAGGCTGATCAGATTTATGTAATTTAGGTTGAACAGTTCTAGGGATATAATATAAGGAAATCAATCAAATTAATGATACAAAGTTGAAACAAAACTCGCAATTACATTATTTTTATTTACAAAACAAAGTTTCAGATGGACTAGCTAATGGTAAACAAAAACAGAAGTGGATCACAGCCCCATCCTCGCCTGCCAGTCCAAAATCAGCTGCTCAGTCATCCCCCTCGTGTCAGGCGACATGCTGGGATACTCCGCCAGTGCACTACGGTGAATCTCCAAGGAACGACCCATCCACTGCAAATAAGAGAACAACACATTAGTTACATAATTCACAGTTAGCGTACATGAAAGTTAAAGTATAAATAAAACACAAGTGCTTACGTAGTCCGTGTTAGTCCTCTCTGGAAGTCTGTCCCCAGTTGAAGACCCAACCGGAGAAATACGAGGATGCGAAAATCGGTAGAGCCACTGCATGTAACCAGGACCGACCGTAGGAGCTCCACCGCCGAGTCGGGTAAGGGCACCGGGAACAACACTGAACGACGATCCAGGGACAAACCGAGTCCACATCACTGATGTCATCTCAATCGGGAACTCTACCCGATACATCTTCAAGTTTGTCGGCCTCTTAGCCTTCTCAGGCCTGATAATGGTCCCCGGAATGTCCTGCACGAATCCCAGCTGACGAACGACTTGATTAGGCATGTATGGCTAAATGATACCTCGATACTGGATACAACCGATGAATAAAGTGGCTGGCACGCGACGTGCCGGATCAACCCCGTACGGGAGCCAGTTAACCTCATTATCGGTCAACTGATCCAATCTAGATCGAAATGCGAGGAAGCGCTCCATGCTCTTGTTGGGGCATCCCGATCCCACATCCCAAGCTGAGGCACGCGGAACACTAAGCTCCCTAGTCAAGGTACCCTGCTGAGGCCGGAAGCATGGAAAATACTCATAGATCCACGCCTGCAGAAGTGTGAGACAACCAGCGATAGAATTGGCATCTTTCCTAGATGCCGTACCTAACTGCCGATACAAATACGCTAGAACAGCTGAACCCCAAGAGTACTCATCGATCGGCAGATCATCCACAACATGCTCGCTGAGGAAGGACGGATGAGTACGGTTACCACTCTTGTCCAGAAACAGACCACAGGTAGGCACTGTAATGGACATTAAAAGGCCTCTGCGACTCAAGGGTCGACTCCGCAATCCTCTCCGTCAGCACCCCACTACCCTGCCAGATGGTCTTGGTACCGCTCTTCTCATTCAGCTCCTTTGTAGTCAAGTCCATGGTGATCGAGCATGCGTCTCGTAGGGTGTCCGTGGTGGGAGTAGCGGACACCATGCTACCATCTACACGAAGCCCTAGTATGTAGTACACATCATGCAACATGATCGTAATCTCCCCAAATGGCATATGGAACGTGTTCGTATCTGGCTGCCATCTCTCAACAAAAGCTGAAATCAGCGGCCAATCCAAACGCCTGAACATGATCCCAGGTAAGTGAGACAGACCGCTACTGTCAATCAACTCCAGATGCTCCTGTGCAAGACGACCTCGCCAGGCGACCAACTCAGAACACAACTGCGTCCTGCCCAAACAGCGCAAAACATTACGCTCCTTCCCGCCCCATATATACGCAGCTTCGTGCCCCCCAAAGCTAGGGATAACGGTCTCATCCTCAGGACCTCCTGGCATCGCCTCCTGCACTACCCATGCCTCTGCTGTGCTGGTGGAAGGGTGACTGGTTTGACTACTGCTGACAAATCTCCCAGTCTGACCCCGTTGCACCGTATGATAATAACGAGGGTCATACTCTTGATCGCGGGAAGCCTGACTTGCCTCGTCGTCCTCATCGTCAAATGAAGGTGAAGGCACTCCACACGACGAGTACATGGGGATGCTACGTTCTGGCTGCTGCTCCCCCGACCAGTTACCAGCATACCCATACTGCTGCTAGTGATCGAACGGTTCGGCCGTATTTCCTAAACGGCCTGACTCCCGCCTAACTGAGTCGTTCAAACGCCTAGATATTGCGTGACGAGTTCCCAAACCCTCAATCTATATTAAGTACGTACATAATAAAAAAAAAAAGCATAAACAAAAATAAATTTTCCTAAGCAAAACCACAAAAACAAACCAAAAAACATAAACAAAAAAACAATAAAAATCACAAACAAATAAAAAAAAATAACAAGTATAAACAAATTACACGAACAAAAATAAAACCTCACTAAGATAATAACAACAGAATAAAAAAAAACTCAATACAAAAATAAACATCACAAACTAATATACAAAAATTAAGAAACATAAACGAATAACACAAAAAAAAAAAAAAAAAAAAAAACTTACAAACATAGAAACAAAAGGATAAAAAATAAATCGACAAAAAAAAAACATCACAAACAAATTAAAAACAATTAACAAAGATAAACAATTTAAAAAATAAAGAAATAAAAAAAAATTATAAAAAAAAAATTACAAAATAAAAACTAAACAAAAACATACTAATAATTACAACAACAACAACAAAGACAACAACAACGACAACAACTCCAACAACGACAACAACAACACCAACTTCAAGAACAACAACAACAACTACTACCACTTCAACAACAACAACGACAACAACAACACACAAAAAAAACACAAAAAAAAATGTGCAAAAAAAAAATAAACTGAAAAAAAAAAAACAAAACTGAAACTGAAAATTATAAAAAATTTATGCAAATAAAACTGGAAAAATAAAATACAAAAAAAAAAAACGAAAACTGAAAAACGTCAAAAAAATCGAAAAAAAGAAGAAATACAAAAAACGAAAAAAAAAAATGAAAACAAAAAAATTCTGAAAAAACCCAGAATTTCTGGAAATAAGGGGACATCCGCCTGAAAAATCCGGATGTCCCTAGAACATCCGGATTTTTCAGGCGGATCTCCTAGGGACATCCGGATTTTTCAGGCGGATGTCCCCTTTTTCCAGAAATTCTGGGTTTTTCCAGATTTTTTCCGCAGATTTTTTTTTCGTTTAGATTACCTGTTCGCCGGAAAATCCACCGCCGCCACGACCACCATGCGTGAACCTTATGCGCCTCCGGTCAGCCATTGCAAGTCGATTGTGGTTGTTTTCGGTTTTAATTTTTTTTTTTTGGGAGAAAATTACAAATCTGCTTTTTTAGAGAGATTACAGATTTTAGAGAGAGAAAATTCAAGTGTAAAATGTGTAGTTCGGGAGTCTCGTGGCTATTTATAACCAAGGGGCAATTTAGGAATTTCAAGGCAAAAATACGAGCGACGCCCGGTAAAATGAGAGCGACAAATAACAACACCCACCCAAAAACATCAAGCACGTAAATAAAATTAGAGGAAGAGATATATGATACTTGTACCTCTTAAGATCTCTAATAATAACAATTATAATAATTACAATATTATATTTTTGACAGATAATTAAAATACTTAACAGTCTACTGTACGCTCACAAAAAAAAATGTGGAGCAGTGAGTTGAGTAGGTGTTGTATCACTGCCACCAATCATATAAATACTAACCAATCCTCGTTACATCTGCTACTCCAACCACCAACAAATCCACCACTCTGCCACCCTTACTACAACCTCCGCCGCAACAGCCGCCGCAGCAGCATTACCATATCCATGGCTATGGCAGAAGCAAGAAATGATGATAAGACATTCACAGGAAAAATTAAGTCAAGGGAAGAGCTTAACAAAGGTATTGCAGACTTGTATGATGAATCTTCTGCTATGTGGGAAGATATCTGGGGTGACCATATGCACCATGGTTATTATGACCCTTCTCAACCCGCCTTGCTTTCGCAACACCGCGCTGCTCAGATCCGAATGATCGAGGAGGCCCTCCGCTTCGCCGGTGTTACAGACTTACAGGTCATCCGTTATTCCACTGTTAATATATGTTTCATTGGATTTTTCGCCTTTGGATAAATGATATAGACGGAATTTAATTTAAGTTATTTGGTTGATTTTTTTTTATAGATGGTGTTACATGTGCATTTCACTATTTATATGTTTCATTTTAGTTTGATTATTATCATTTCCATTTCCATCCTTGTTTAATTTAGACGTGAAGAGAGTCGTGAACAGGATAGATGATAGGGAGTCGTAAAGGGATAAATGATGTAGAAGAGATTTAACAGGAGTTATTAGGTTAAATTTTTGCTCTATTGGTATTTGCTTATTTACTCTTACTGTATTTTGGGTTCTGTTTTTCGATTGGGCCATTTTTTTCACATTGTCGCCTGCAGTTTGCAGATGTATGTCCTGCTCAAATTATTAAATTTGAATATTTGATTGAGGTGATATTTTGATGTTTTCTGTTTGTTTATTTCTAATGACAAATGACAAATACCGTGACTCTTTTGTGGTAGTCACGTACTTCAACTCTATCCCTAAGGATTTCCGAATATGTCTTTTTTTTTACTACGTATTTATAGTTTCTTTTACCACTTTTAAAAATGGTATTAAAAATTAATGAACAAATGTAAATACTCAGAATTGGATGAGGCTTTACTAGTTGTAAACAAAAAAGATTAGATTTTTTATACGAGATTGATGTTAGGTCATTAGTATTACCACTTATTGAGTGAGCCGTACAATGTGCTTAAACTTGTAAACAATTATGAACTATTATGACGTGTGTTTGGCAAAATTTGTTGTTGTAGTAATTGTAGCTGTATGTGTAAGTAGATGTTAGCTGTCAACGAATAGATGTTAAACTAACGCTAGCCTAAGTTATTTGGGGAAAATACACTCACTCCCTCTCTAATTGTACTTCTATAACATGTTTTCGCCATGTAAAAGCTCAGGTCTCTTATATACTCCTATATGGCTATATGGCTTTATGAGAGGATCCTGCTTAGACTTGTGTCTTTTTTTTTTCAATTTTTTTTGGTCTGATTAACTAAATTCTTAAACTTCCTGTAATATCTTTGGTCTGCAGATGATCCAAGCAAACAACCGAAAGCTATAGTTGATGTTGGGTGTGGGATTGGAGGCAGCTCGAGATACCTAGCCAAGAAGTTCGGGGCTACAACTCAAGGAATCACCCTGAGTCCAAAACAAGCTGAAAGAGCTCAAGCTCTTGCTGTTTCTGAGGGTTTAGCTGATAAGGTGAGTATGAGAAATGTGGCATACACATGTAGAAATGTCGAATGCTGTATTTCTCTTTTGATTATTGCTGTCTTTAAGATTCTCCCTCTATGTGTATTTCAGAAAAACGTCTGACCTACACATTTGTGTAATGGTTTGGTTAGGTTCTCTCCAACTTACAAACATTTCAGCAAAATCAGTTTTCGTCAGTTTTAATCAGCAAAAAACTAGCTTTGGAAGTAACATTCTGTTTTTATCAGCAAACTCTCCGTCTTAGTAATGCATATAACAAAAACACTAGCTAGTGACTAAGCAAACATCAGCATAGTTATAGGGGTGGGAAAGGATAAAGATCAATTCTCATGAATTTAAAACAACAGGCATCCTTTCAAGTAGCAGATGCTTTGGAGCAGCCATTTGAAGATGGAAAGTTTGACTTGGTTTGATCAATGGAGAGCGGTGAACATATGCCTGACAAAAAGAAGGTTTGGTTTCTCTATGCTTATTAGACCTGGCCTATATTGCCTTACTGGTCTGCATAAATAGTAGTAACTTGGTTAAGTTAGCGTTCTAGGAGACAGTGCTTTAGTGAATACACTCTCCTAAACAACTTTTTTTTTTTTTTTCTTCCAGTTTATCACTGAATTGGCTCGAGTTGCTGCCCCCGGTGCTACAATCATAATCGTGACATGGTGTCATAGGGACCTCTCTGCCTCTGAGGAGTCCTTGCAGCCTGGTGAAACTGAACTCTTGCGAAAAATATGTGATGCTTACTATCTTCCTGCCTGGTGCTCTGCAGCTGATTATGTAGAGTTGCTGCAATCTCTGTCCCTCCAGGTGCACACCTCATTTTGTTAATATTATCCATTGTGTGAATCACATTGCTACTGCAGTCTAAATTGGCAAAGTAGAGAGATTGGGTGCACGGTACACCCATGAGCATTTTGTTCTCATTTTGATGATGGTTTTTCATCTAATCATCAAATGAAGAGCGAAAACTAACTTTGGGTTAGTTGGGTGCACGGTACACCCGGGTGTGTATAAAATATTTCAGGCAAAGTACATCCTAATCCTGCTCACCTAGGAGGCCTGGAGCGTGGTGTTCAAATGAATATACTCCTTTCGAGTTAGGACTGAAACTGAACATGTTAAACATTTTTGTACGGATTACAATATATCAGCATAGTCAATAAAACTCATTTTCATTCCTGATAGATTACATATGAAGTATTTATTTGAAGTATCTAGCGCATAGTGCTCCCAAGGCACCTTATTATGATTGGTATTAGATTGATCTTACAAGTTAATGATACTAGTTCTGAGTTTGTATTGCAGGACATTAAGGCTGAAGATTGGTCCCAGTATGTTGCGCCGTTTTGGCCAGCTGTCATACGCTCTGCATTGACATGGAAGGGTGTAACTTCGCATTGCGCAGTGGTATGCTTAGATTAAGAGTAATAATAACTCGAAGTTGATACATCTACATCTGCTGTTTCATGAGGTTAATGTTCAGAGTCTCATGTTGGCTTAAATAATCTGTACAGGATGGAAAACAATAAAAGGAGCATTAGCAATGCCGTTGATGGTAGAAGGATACAAGAAGGATCTTATCGAATTTGCGATTATTACATGTCGAAAGCCAGAGTAATTTATCTGCTAGTTACAGAAGATTGCTTCTTTGATCTATGAAAGCTCAATCCCTTCAGCAAGCCACCTAAATTTATTTCGATTATTTGGGTATTTTCTTTGTTTGGGACTCTGGGATGTTCCATTCCAAAATCAGTGGATGTAGAACATAGAGAAGGATTGTTCCTTTCATTCTCTTTATGCTCAAAATAAAAGTATGTGAAATTTGATTTCATATTGATGAATTTTACCTGATGTTGTTTATTCTCTCAATTTCTAAAAGTTCGACTCAATGTAAACCTTTGTTACTAGGAAAGTGGGAAAAAAGCGTTGAAAAAAGGTATATAAAGACCTTAAATAAAATAAAAAATAAATAAAAAAAGAAAAGTAAATGTGTGTAAAAAGAGATTATATAGAAAGAGGTAAAAGGGTAAGATGGTGTATGAGTTGCCAAAAATTGAACAAATGAAAAGTGAATAAAATTTATAAAATTTCAGAAGCACAAATAAACGGAAAGTCTTTCGGGAATAGGGGGAGTAATTTATAACCTGTAAAAAGGTACCAATGATATAAAAGACTAAGCCAACTTGACTATCCCTTGGACTCAGCTTGCAAGCTGAATCTAAGCCATGCTAAAGTATTTTTCAGACAAACTCAAGCCCATGATAGGTCTAACGGTTTCAGCTCAATTAAATACTAATTGGTGCTTAGAGTTTCAACTTTGGAAAAAGACATACTCCGTAATACTGTTATAAAAGCATAAAATGCTGAAAGCATAAAAATTGGAACAAGTTTTTACTGTAATACGGAGTAACTAATAACACATAGATAACCTAAAGGCGGAAAAAAGTTAAATTTGCGTATCAACCTCATAGGCTTCATCCATGTTCTCCCTCAATTTGGAGGTTTAATAAATTTCAGCGGATCATGAACAATTTCACATTCAAGATATCTTACTCATTTAAGAATCTAAAAGCTGGAAGGAAAAGGGTTTCCCCATTCCCAACCCTCCCTTCAACCATTCGATTCCTAGGGACTGATTTTATACAAGGGTATGTCAGAAAACAAGGTAACTCAAAACCAATTAATTAAACATCTAGGCTGTTGTTACAGTAGTCCCTATCCCGGAGTGGCTCAGCTAGAGACGGAAACTCAGAATTCCAAACGATGCTCAAGTAACCGCCTGCGTACAGATTTTGGAGCTAATGCTTGTAATCCAAGAATGCTTATGCTCAAGACAGAGTATATATATTTCAGCTCCCAGAATCACCAGTACCCACAGCTTATATATTATCTAGAATTTAAATCAAACTCCCCACTTTCACGCCACTCTTCTTGCATTCCTGTGTCTCCGTTTTCTGCCTCTTCATCGTTCAAAAAATCATCAGAAGGTTCTCTCTCCCCCCTCTGTGCATTATTGCCCCACCCGTTGATCATCTCATCAGGGATAACCCCTTGCTCCTGATCAGTTAGTTCATGATTCATAGAAGCATCATTTCCTTGTGATCCAAGAGCATTAACTCTGATTGGAGCTCGAGCCATCAATTCAGCATGTGCCTGTGATTCAGCTCGAGCTTGCTCAGCTTGCATGGCTGCCATCCGCATCTTAGCTTCTTGAGCCTCCCGGCCAGCTCTTGACTCCATTTCTGCTCGTACTTCCATAATTGCGCGTTTCTCTTCTTGTAACAGAGCCTGCTCAATCATCAATCTCTCCTCGGAGCGAAATTCCCCCAAGGCCCGCTTTCGAGTTATAATATTAAAGGCCAGTGCCTGTTTCTCAAAAGTTGATGTGAACTCAGCTACTTTAGCAGCAATATTGTGGTCCCACTGTTGGGAGCGTGAGAGTATTTGCCCAGTAGTATCAGAATCAAGAATCCTATCATCTTCTTCTGCTTCATAATCCGCCACAACATGGTATGGTAGCAGCCTGTTTTATAAAAAATTGAGCAGAGCATTTAGATATTTGTAGGACTTCACGCAGAGCTTGAGCACATTGAGAGAAAAGGATGCATGTGAAGTTAGTAAAAGACCACGTCAAAATAGCGCATAGAGCTGAATTCCTTTTCATGTTATTATTTATCCGCACACCAATAAAAAGATGCAACATCCTCACATCCAAAACCATACATTATCAATTGAAATTAGATTAGAGATAACATTGTCGTTTTGGAACTCAGAACTAACAATATAATACTTCACCGCCTGAAATGACTGATAATTATGATGCTAAACTCATACGTTATATTTCTAGATTAATTTTTACAGGTATATTGACATCAAGCCAATAAAATTATTAAACTGTAATAAGTTAATAACCATGCTGGGAACAAGTAGTGGCTAGTACCCCGGGTGTTGATTCATAACCTATAGCTTTGGCCAGCAGTGATAGTCACCAAGAGAAAATATTGTAGCGAATTTAATTTGGAAGCACAAAAGGTATTCCCCATGTCCAGTTGGATCCCCCTCAAAATACATTGGACATCACTCCACAATTAATGAGCTCTAGGTAATCAAATAAGATTTAGCAGAGGACATGATGCAATTCTGGAAGTCAATTTTCCAAGAGAAGATGAACTCTGACAGAATTATCAGGACATAAATCACAGTTACATGTGTATCAACTTCAGGATAAGACAATAAGCTAACAAAAAAAATCCACCATTTCATTCCACTAATCTAATGCCAAATACAAATATTAGCTGTGACAAAAGCCAATCAAAGCCAATCTAATACCATATCAACAAAAAGAACCAATAGTGGATCTTGACCAGGTAGGGTTCTAACATCTAAGGGACATTAAATACATTCCCCAATAAATATGCAATCTAAAATAAGAGGATATGGCGCTTTTGGTTTCACAAATCAGCTTCGACATCATACAGACACATGCTGGAATCATTCAAAAAAAAAAAATACAAGGGAACCCGTTTAAATCATCAGAAAATGTAAGATTCTTGTGCCAAGACTACTTAAGCTAGCAAAAAAAACCCTCCATAACCAAGCTTACTACTGGAACAATTGCTAACGGAAGTCAGGTTAGGTAGAGCATGCCAAGTTACAAGGGACAGCTCAATAAAAGATACGGAGAAAATTGAAGAGGACGCTTACAGAGACGATAAGCCAATACAGAAGGAAAAATTAAAGTGCTCGCTCATAGCTTAAGACAGTGTGTCTTTTTTTTGTTTGGGGGGCGGGGGGGGGGGGGTAAGAACCAAATATATCAAGATTTCAAGCTATCATGAAACATATACAAATTGACATAAAGTCGTGATCACACTTGCTTCTGAAAACACTACAACCTTCGACCCTCCAAGTAAAAGGAAAAGAAATACTTGACAAATACAAATTTAACCCTGAAAAATCCATCAAATTTCTGTTTTCAAGTGCAACAACAAGACAACTGAACCCCCGAATCTCATTTAAGGCTAAGAATAGATGCCAACAAGACAAAACTTAAGGATAAAAGAGAACTTCCTCTTCACAAAAGCTAAAATGACTTGCAAAATTAAAATGCCATATTGAGCACTTTTCCTTAAATGCTGGCCGTGCACTGGAGAGGAGAAAAGGGAAGAAAAGGAGTAGAGGAACCTCTATCTTCAAATGACATTAGCTACGAAATCAATATGTAAACCTCCTTCGAGAATAAACACAGAAGAACTTCCAAATCAGCTAGTCTAAAAATCTCGTCACTCCCCTCACTACCGAACTTAAAAAAAAAAAAAAAAAAGAAAGAAAGAAAGAAAAGAAAAAAAAAAAGCTCAATCAGCAATTAGCTTCTATAACTTTGATACTCAAATCTTTTTCCAAGTTATTTTAATACAAAGCATATAAAAGAAAAGTTCCGATGCCTTTGAGTACCATTATATAAGCTATCACCTCATCAAAAACATCCTTAAGACGCAATTGAGGTCTAGTCTCAGAACTGACCCATCAAGGGTAGATCACCAGTCACTACACCATATGCCATTCTAAACACTAATATTGAAACCAACTAAAGACTTGAATGCAGCTTTCCAAGAATACTCCATGGAGTGAAGATTCCTTCTAAATGCAACCTAAAACCTCAAGAATTATCCCTCCATAGAGTAAAGATACCTTCTACAGAGCCACTTTGTCTTATATGCTTCATTCATGGTATGTAGGACAAATTCAAAATTGTCCCTTGATGCAAAGCGAATGATGTCAGCAGTGGGCTCATAGAAATCTCTAAACAAAGGAAATATGCAAGAATAACTTACATGGTAGGAAACCCCCCTGTAAGCTTCAAAGAGTCAGAAACCCCAGGGATAAACTACCCCGCCCCATCCATCCTACCATGAAACAAATGTTAAGCACACAAACTCATTGTTGCAATCCTACTAACTTCTTCCATATTTACTGCAGAAAAACAGCAATACGACATCAAAACTAATTCCACATTCCCTTTCTTCACATGGAAATAAAGCTTGTTCTCATTTCAAGAGGTAATTCTCACTAATCATCAACAACATGATACTTCTTAAGCCCCTCATCTCAACATTGTGCATCGAATCCTCTCCTTGTCACTTCCATGGATGCCAAACACTTAAAATCAACCCTCACAGATTTCAATGAACCATTCCATCCTCTTACAAAAGAGTCCAGTCTGGTATAGAGGCTATCTTTCTTCCAGGATTTAAGCTCAAGCTGGAGGTGGGAAGTTGTTCAACATATGCATCGTTAAGTTTATGAGCCCCATATCCTCTGTAGTAGCTAATTCCAAGAACCTTTGACAATCACCAGATCGAGACTTTCTCATACCCATAAATCAGACCTCTTTTAACTCCCTAGCAACTGCTCATCCTAGACCAACCCAAGAATGGAAGAAATATGCCTATAAACGGCTAACCAGAAAGATCCTCAGCCTGAAAACTAACACAAAGACCGAACTTCTACTGACAAAGACCTCCAACAAAGGCAAGGTTCCAGCAAATTACATAACACAGCCACAAATAAACTCTCCATATTAGGTTCCCTAAAATTTCTTCTTATACTAGTTGGAAATTTCCAGAGACCCCCTCCCTTACACACACAAACAGACAAACAAACAAACAAAATACAACGAAAAATAAGTCCAAGTGTGGAAGGCTACCTAAGTATCCTTAGTAATTACACCCTTCGAAAGTCAAGTTTCTTCCTCAAGTATTTTACTATTTTCTATCTTCACTATTTTAATATTACATCTTTGGAATAAATCGCATTCGAATTCAATATCATCAGGACCAAACTAGAACACTTATCAGATAAGTTCTTCGCAATGCCCAATTGAGAATTAGGCAAACTAAATGAGGGCATAATTGTTTCCAATAACCAAATTCTTCAGCTTCTTGGTTATAAATTAATCAACTTAATCAAGGAAATTAACAAACGACTTAAAAGTAACATCATAACATTACTCAAGAAAGCATCAAAAATGAAAAATCAGTAAAATGTTGAGAAAGAGTAAAAAAAAACCTTTCACAAGCATCTTCGAGCGACGCGAAAGGCCGCTTAAAATCGGGATGGCAAACGCGCCAAGCATCCTGATACGCCATCTGTAGCTCAGCTTGATTCCCAGCAAGAGGAGGAACAGATTGTTGCTGTTGCTGTTGCTGCTGCTGCGACTGAGGTGAAACCCTATTCATCTTCTGCTGCAAATGCTGTTGCTGAGATTGAGGACTAGAGCTAGGGTTTCCCTGATGATGAAGAGGATGCATAGAATTCGAATTAGGGTTAGGGTTTTGATTTTGATTTTGCGATTGCGATTGATTTAGACCTAATGGACGATTCCCTCCGAGAGGCCTCAAATGCGCATCGATGTTCGACGGAAACCGCGCCATGGCAGCTTGTTGTTGATGCCGTTGTTGTTGTTGCTGATGTTGATGCTGCTGTTGTTGTTGATGTTGCGGATTTTGTTGCTGCTGTTGTTGCTGCTGTTGTTGATGCTGGAAATGCTGAAGAAGGTAAAGTTGTTGCTGCTGTTGTTGCTGTAACATTATTTGTTGTTGTTGGCGTTGCGCCAACGCTTTCGCATCGTCCATGATTTTCTCTCTTTCTTACGACTGAGTCTACAATTATGGCGAGAAAATTGGGGGAAGTTGGGATCTAGCTTCAACTATCATGGGGGTGAGAGGATTTGCAGGAAATTAAGACTTTTGAATTGGAGAAGAAACGACTTTCTTTTCTTCTCTTCCCTTACAATTAAAACCTGTATCTGAAAATTGTTTTTAGTCGGAGTCTAGTAGGGTTTGGAGGACTGAAAAATGGTTTGAAAATTATTTTATCACGGTTTGAGTATTTTGAGGGAGGATCATAACTCATAAGATTAGCTTCTGTCTATTTGATGAACAAGGATGCAAGTCGGGTATGAAAAGGGGCCGGAATTGTGAGAATATCACAATAAGAGCGAATGTTGAGTATGAGATTGGGCGGTCTTACCTGCTGATGATTAGAGTGGCGAAAAGGTTTGGTCAGGGATGGTGAGAGTTGTGATGGTCGAGAAAGTTAAGGTGGGCACAGCACAAGCAAGTAATGTGCCTGGCCTGTTCATGAACAGTTCGATCTTGGCTCAGTCAAAGTTCTATTCGTGGTAGCTCGGCTTGAGACCTTAACGAGCTAAAGCTCGGATCGAAAAGTTCCTGAATAAGCTCAATTATTCTTCTGCATATAAAAAAAATTATGTATATAAAAATAAATATATCTATCATAGATATTGCACAATAATGAAAAATAAAGAAGACAAGTAAACTAAGGATAATAATAAATCAATGTTGTTCGTGAACAATTCGAGTTCGGCTCGCTCAACGCTTGATCAAAGCTCGGCTTAGTGAAAGCTTGATTCATAAAGTTTTGCGTTCGGAAACACTTAAACGAACAAGGCCAAGCTGACTATATTTCAGGCCCAGCTTGCCCGATTAGCACCCCTAAGTTTGGATATTAGTTTTTGGGTCAGTTGAGAATTTATGGTGCTTTAGAACACATGGTGACACAATATTTGTAAAACACAACACAAATATTTATGTAAGACAACAATTTCGATTAGGATACGCGAATATTATTTTTTTTTTTTAAAAAATCTCTTCTTATGTGTACAAGATTTCAATTTTAATTTGAATATCCGAAATTAGAAATAACTCTATTTAAGTTACTTGAAAGTTGAAATCGAATGATATGGCTAAAGAATAAACGACTACAGTTTTGAAAATGATTCAACAATTAGTTTGACTTTCATTATTGTTGTCTCTTGTCACTTTAAAATTGAAAACATGAACTCATTCATTATGCAGAATGGTTGCATCTGAATGTTTGCAAATTTGCAATATATCAAATTAAATCATTAATATTTAATAGCATGAATCATCATTTTGTACCTTATTAACATTTGCTATAGAATATGCATCACAAAGGGTCGTGATAAGATTATCCTGTTTTAGAAGTTTTCACTAATATTTTTTCCCATTACTGTTAATGGTAAAAAATCAACCAACATGAACAAAGGAGTTGACATCAATTTTCTAACTACTACTTAGTAGTCTATAATCATGCACAAAGTAGTTGATATCAATTTCATTTCAAAAGTTTGCCTTGCTACATGCCAGCAAGAAGTAAATAGTTATTTCAAATCTAGAATCCCGATGAATTGGTAAGGTTTGCCTTGCTACCCATCAAACAAGTTTGGTATGCTTTCCAAAAATTTCACACAACAGAACAAACAATATTATGCTTCTAGCATTGCGTCAAATCTCTTCTCTATATCAATATTAATTAATATAGAAACATAAGTCCAGCCAATTTTGAAGTCTCAAAAGTTAAGAGCTCGGTGGTGAGGAGACGCAAAGCAATGCGGCATCTGTATCAATTAATATGCATGTATTTCAATCAGAACGACCAAAAAGTATAGAAGGAACCAATCTTCTACATTTAGATTTTGAGCTCCCCGACATCCAAACTGATGTAAAGCCGGGAGATGCTGGAATTCTGGGGCAAAGCTGAATAGTGTGTTCTATGGTTTACTGATGATGGACCACTGATAGCTAACATATTGAGAGTACCGTCAAGTTAGCCTCAGCGTGACCATACAGTTAATCAATAACGGATGCCTTCACCTGCTTGGCTCATTTGACAACAGTTAGATATGTTCAACATATGTTGAGACTTGTGGGGAGACATTTGGAATTACTTTGCCTTCACTCAAAATGATGCACATTGCATAAGAGAAAACAATAGAAGGAACACCACTAAAGCAAACCAGAAGATTTACTTCCAAAATTCGAATAAATGAAACAGATAATAGCCCAAGACAATGAATGAGCACGTTCAGGATGGGAAATTCTACAGCACAAGCTCACAAAGGAAGCATGTAAAGTGGAGCTTTCTTGCGAGCTCCATGGAATATAATGGAAGTGAATTTTGGGCTGTTGCAAGGTCATGAATCTCATGATATCCTTCCAATGTCGTTTCTTCCTTGTGACGGTGGAATATCGATTGGATGGTTTGTTCTGCGACCTACCAAACAAGGGCAAGGGCTATCAAAAAGAACAGTATTGTATCTATCTTCTTCCCCCCCAATGTTGACCTTCAAAAAAGGAAATAAACAGCAAAAGTGAAGGAACAGGCAAACAATTATTTCACATATGTGGGAAGACAAATTTAGAACTGCTTGAAATATCAGGATCAAGTTTGTGCATACCCCATGGCATGCTGTTATGTGGATATCCCGGATCATAGCTATAAGAATTGTGATGTGGCCTCATATGAATCCCCTCATTCCCATAAGTAACAGATGATCTCCCATGATTCGTACGCTGAGTAGGCGGCTGTCCCAAACGGCTTAAAGAGGTCGGTGACAATTGTGACATATATTGTGGTGCCCTTAACATTGAACGACCATACCCAAGAGGCAGATTGTGAGCAGGTGGGCTGTTCATATCTGGTTTTGAAAATGCTTGAGCAGGTCCACTGGGCCTGGATCAAATCACACACATTGAAACAAATTCAGTAACCAAACCAGCAGGTCCACTGGACCCTGGATCCAAATTCCCTACACTGAGCTCGACACTCATGCCCATGTTGAATAACCATGGCAACATCAATCCAATAGAATCACAACTTCTATTACTAAATCTACCAAACATTGTATCAAATATGCAAAGCCCTTCAACAACGCAACAGATTTCAGTTTATTGGACACCTAAATACTAATAGTATACAGGCAATTAAATCTTCTATAGGACATCTTAACTCTTACAGAATGCTTTGGATACATTTTCTAAGGGCAATTCTCAGCACAGCCATTTAGATAATAAATTGACCACACACAAATGAATAACAGATTAATCAAATGGAAACAGGAAACCAATGATATCATCTACATGCATGCCTCTACTCCTAAAAACGACAGATGAAACAGAATTAAATAACTCAGATAGTACATTAATTACCTCCACGTTGCATTAGAAACTGCATTTGAATCATGGCTGTATGTTCCAAAACCAAAAGTTTGTGGTGATGTCGTAGCCTGATCTATGTTCACCACTTTACCAAACGCGGAAGTGATGCTGCTCACATCAGAACTATCCTCTTGCAGCAGTAATTCATCACTGAAAAAGAAACAAGGCAAGCTTACAAAAATGCATAGGCTTTAAAAATTAGAAGCACAATGACAGACATATCTTTCTATTTTAGTCTTCCACCATGAATAACAGAAAAAAAAAAATTCACAAAACTTATTTCACATATCCTCTGTCCAAACAGAGGCATAACAATTTCGCAGAAATTCAAAAACCATTGGCATCTTCTATATCAAAATAATCTTTTGAGAGAAAATCCTGCAAGAATTTTTTTCTTGTTCAACATCACAAATTTAAAAGCTGTGTGAATGTAGAGTAGCAGAGGTTGTTGACTGCTGGCATCAACTTGAGCCTAATCTAATTACTCCAGCAATAACGTAGACTGGGACGGATAATGAGCCAATGCCCAACTTTTCAAATGGAAGATATTTATCTTTTAGTGGGTTGGGTTTAAGCTGGGAAGCTCAAGTGAGGATTTGGCATCTTATTGTGAGTTCGACTTCCAATAGAATGCATGAAGTAATAAAGCATGATTGACTAGAATCCATACTGACTGATACAACTTGAAGTGATCAGCAACTGAAGTCTTATGTGTGTGTTCCCTTTCATAGAGTAAAATTTTGAAGTAATAAAAAAAATAAAAAAAAAGATAAAATCCTAAGAAACGGGGCGTTTGGAATGTGGGAATGGGAATTTGGGGATTAAAAGGTGGGAATGGGAATATATAGGGAATTAATTGATTGGAATACATGAAAATATGCCAATACCTTGTTTGGATAGTGATAGTGGGTGGGAATATATAGGGAATAAATAACAATTTTACAAAAATACCCTCACTAACATTTCTTTTTCATTCTTTTCATTAATGGCAAAAATGTCATTTTATACCAATTCACATTCACATCCATTTATTACCTACCCTCCCTAGGTAATAAAATGGTGGGAATTCACCCCTAAATATTCCCATTCCCAAACCTCTTTTTATTCCCATTCCCATCAAACAAACAAGGCCTTTTTCTTCAATTGGGATTAAAATTCCCAATCCCACCCTCAATTCCCACATACCAAACACCCCACAAAAGTAAATCCATAAGATCATGACAGAGTATCTAAGAAAAAACAATTTGATTAGGAAAATGAAATAAACTACAAAAATGTTTGTGATTCAAAAATATCTGGTGAGTAAAACTGTAGATCATCTAGAAACAACAAAAGGAGTCCAAGTTTTCATGCCCAAAGGAGGCACTGTTTACATACCTATAGTTTGGATCCCAATCGCCAGGATCAGGCAATGCTGTTACATCAAGCTTTTCATCCACAGGTCTTTTAATTTGTGAAAATTGAAGGCTTGAACCATGCAAACCAGAAATTGGCATGTGGGAAAAAGAGTTATCAGTACTGATATTACTACTACCAGATGGTGGCTTCCAACTTGACATGTTAGAGTTTATAGGTATATGCAGTGGACCACCAGGTACCTGTGACTGTGTGTTGCCCTCACCTTGACTGAAGCAAAGACCTCCACTCAATTGTCCTTGACAATGCGCAGTGGATGTACCTTCTTGAGACTGCATATTTCCAGAATGTCCCCAACTTTTTCTCCGGTTAAAATTGCTAACAGCAATACCTTTTCCGAGGGGAGACCCTTGACAATTTCCCCTTGCTGGAGATGCAGCACTATAATGTCCAGGTGAGCCAGAATTCTGAGTGAAACTGCTTGGCGGAGTAAACTGTGAAGGACTAATTCCAAGCGGGAATGGTGCAAAATTTCCTGCAGATGGACTAACACCAAGTCCATGTGGGCCTTGTGGCCGGTGATAAATTTTCCACCTTGTATCAGGGCTATTTCCGACCATTGCCTTACCACCTTGAGTATGAACGTTCATCGTAGATTGGCAACCGGGTGAAAAGTATGTAAA